TAAGGCAGAAAGAACAGGGACTTACAGTGCACATGGCTGATCTAATTTAGGAGCCCTCTTCCTCTCCTGGTGGTGGGGGTACAGAGAAATATCCTCCATATGCCGAGCTGAAGCCTTCCTTCAGGCCCACGCTGCAATAGCAGCTGCAGTCTTCCTCCCAGCCTATGAAAGCTGAGGTGGGCGGAGGAAGCTGTCGGTGGCTGGAGTGAAGGGAAGACAGCCAAACTGATATTTCTCCTCCTCGGCCGCTCTGTAGCTGCAGCTTCACTCGCCAATTGCGAGCGGGCGAGTGGAAATTTTGAGCCCTGCAGTACAGTAATATTACAGCATCTTTATTACAGCTTACAGCACCTGTATTCTAGTACTATGGCAGCACCGGTATTGCCGCACCTGTATTCTAGTACTATGGCAGCACCGGTATTGCCGCACCTGTATTCTAGTACTATGGCAGCACCGGTATTGCCGCACCTGTATTATAGTACAATGGCAGGACCGGTATTGCCGCACCTGTATTATAGTACTATGGCAGCACCGGTATTGCCGCACCTGTATTCTAGTACTATGGCAGTACCGGTATTGCCGCACCTGTATTCTAGTACTACATTATTACCGCACCTGTATTCCAGTACTGAACTGTATTGAAATGTTGTGTTTTTGCCCAACTTACCAGTACAGTATGGCAAACCCGAGTAAGCGTAAACGCGTAGTGCTTACCCTCAAGCAGAAGATGGAAGTATGCAGGAGGCTTGAGAAAGGTGAGAGTCGTGCGGTGCTAATGAAGGAATTTAATATCGGTTCGTCAACCATCTACGACATTAAAGCTCAATCTCAGAAGATAAAGGAGTTTCATGCCAAGTCGGAGAGCGACAACAGCGTGGAGAAGCGTCATACTCTTCATACCCCGAAAATGGAAGTGCTGGACCAGGCCTTGTATGAGTGGTTTGTGCTGAAGAGGTCCGAGGGCTGCTGCATTTCTGGACCCATGCTGCAGGAGAAGGCGAGACAATTTCATGAGAAACTCAACATTGAAGGCCAGTGTTCATTCTCCAGCGGCTGGCTCACCCGATTCAAGATCCGTCACGGCATCCGCAAGCTGGACTTGTCAGGCGAGCAGAAACCGGCTGACTCCGAGGCTGCCGCTTCATTCCGCGACGCGTTTAGCGAACTGACCGCAGAAAGCGACTTGACCCCCGAGCAGATTTATCATGCCGACGAGACCGGGTTAATGTGGAAGTGTCTGCCAAATTCTACTTTGGCCGGCGGCGACGACAAGGCAGCTCACGGGGTCAAGCTAAATAAAGAGCGTGTAAATGTGCTCGTCTGCGCGAATGCGTCGGGAAATCATAAGGTCAAGTTGTCTGTGGTCGGCAAATATGCCAAACCGAGGTGCCTTAAAGGCCTAGCTACCCTTCCGGTAGATTATCACACGCAGAAAAACGGTTGGATGGACGCAGACGTTTTTACCAAGTGGTTTCATCATTCGTTTGTCCCCAGTGTTAGAGACCATTTACGAAAGAAGGGAATGCCGGAGAACAGTAAAGTTCTGTTGCTGCTGGATAACCGCCGCGCACATCCGCCCGGAGAAGAGCTCGTCAGTGGCAACATTTTCGTATGTCACCTGCCGCCTAAGGTCGCAAGTTTGATCCGGCCGACGGATCTGGAAGTGACACGGAGTCTGAAAATGTGTTACAGGCGTGACTTCATGAGAAAGTTGCTTCACTTTGATGGGACAATTCTGGACTTCCAGACAAAATTCAATCTGAAAGATGCTCTGTACACCGCGGCCTGCGCCTGGGATTCCGTGAGCAGTGACGCATTACAGAAATGTTGGGTAAAGTTGTGGCCGGCTGTGACGTGCGTGGAATCCTCCCCCGTGGACTTCGAGGAGCTACCCGTCCATAGTGCCGCTGCCGGTAGCGGAGTTTATGAAGAAATCTGTGAGTTGGCCGACTCTATGACTTTGCCTCGAGGGGAAATCAACGACTGGCTTGCTGTGGACGAAGCTGTTTCCGTAACTCACGCTCTTAATACAGAAGAGATCATAGAAGCTGCCGTGAATCGGGGGGAAATGGTTGTCGCAGAGGAGGAAGAGAGCGCTGATGATGACGGTGGTGGTGGTGGTGGGCGGGCGGTGGAAACAGTATCCTGGCAGAGAGCTATAGCAGCATTCGAAACGGTGATAGCGTTTGCGGAACAGCAACCCTTCCTCACGCCTCAGCATGTTCTGCAGCTGCACGTCATGCAAAACCTCACTCTGGATGAGGGGCGCAGGGCCTCGCAGCGAGCTGATCTGTCTTCATGTTTCAAGAAAGCTGCGCTCAAGTTTGACAGCACGGGATCAGCGACTGACGTAGATCCAAAAGCATCCGCAGCTACGTCTCCTGGTCCTGTCCCAGCTACATCGCCAGATCCTGATGCGATGTCTGAACAGTGAACTCACTATTGTACCCGTTAGAAGTCTGTATTTGTATGTTTCAGGGCTGTGCAAATTAACGATTAATTTCTCGATTAATCGTTAATCTTTTTGATCGATTAAAATTGTTTTGATCGCTAATGAAAACACTCACCTCCCTGCCGGCTTCCGGGAGTCCCGTCGGAGATCCGGTGACGTCACGGACATCGACGTCACCGGACTCCTCTCCCCCTTCCCCAAGTGGCTCCGTCGACTATCGAAGGGAAGGGGGGAGGAGTCCGGTGACGGCGATGTCCCCAAGTGGCTCCGTCGGCCAACAAAGGGAAGGGGGGAGGAGTCCGGTGACGTTGATGTCCGTGACGTCACCGGACTCCTCCTCCCTTCCCTTCGTTAGCCGACGGAGCCACTTGGGCCGTTGAGTTTGCCCAAGAAACTTGTTCTGCACGAGCGCCAGCCAAGGCATTGGCCTATACACATACAGCACCGCAATGAAATAATAAAATGAACTAGGACCAGCACGTCATTATTCTGATCTCCCCCACTCAAGCGGCGGCCATATTGAGTGGGGCACGTGAGATTAATAACGTGCTGGACTAGTGTGATCCTAGTTCATTTTATTACTTCATTGCTGTGCTGTATGTGTATAGGCCAATGTAGTTGGATCTGTATGTGCGTTATAATTCATTACATTTTTTTTTTTCGATTAATCGAACACGAAAATTTTAATCAGTAACAGCCCTAGTATGTTTGTATGTTTTTTCTAAGTTACTTAATGTTAAAAAAAACAATGGTTGTGAAGTTGATTAAGCTGGAAAGTTTATTGACTGTCATTTAACTAAAATTGCACGCTGCATTCACAAAGCTGTTTTGTTTTAGAATACAGTAAAACTGTGTTGCATTAAGTGTCTCTAGTTGTCTTAATTTGCTCTTACATAGTTACATAGTTGAAAAAGTCCACCGAGTTCAACCTATAGAGAGCTCTTGATGACTGTATTTCAGTATTAATATGAAGTCCAGCCAGTTTTATGATACGGTATAGTATGGGGTATGGCATTGGTTAGACCCTATTTTTAAAAGTAACTCTCGAGCAACCAGAAACGACATTGATCCGGAATCTACCAATCGCCGTGGATGCCGGATAACTGGGAGTTTACTGTATTTGTATTTTTTTTTTTATATATATATATATATAAAGAATGGAAATGTATTTGGCAACAGCATAGAATTGGACAAAACTAATACTAAAGAGGAAGAAGAAGAGCCGTATGTGATGGATGAGGAGTCGTGTAAGGAGGAGGAGATCCCTTCTGAGATCAGCACAGGTCAGTAATAAACACTAAATCCAGAAAAGAGTTGCAGATTCTCCTTGTTCAGTCACTACAACAATCTCTTCTTCTCCCCCCTCCTCTGTCTGTAGACAGTAATGGGGGGACAGTATGGGCCCAGTGGGGCACCCTCTAGCATAGCACAATTAATATGCCGCCATATTAAAGCCCAACTAGCCAAAACATATTATTTGGGGGGAGGATTGGAACCTCTGTCACGTTTTTATTGCCATTCATGTCCCCTTGGGGATGTTTTGCTACTTAAAAATGGGTGGTTGCCAATGTTGCTTTGTAGGCTTTGGACTTGACTGATGTATGTTGGGCTGGCTTAACGAATTTTGGGCTTGACCGATGTTGGGCTGGATTGACCAGTGTTGGGCTGTCTTGATCAATGTTGGGCTTGACTGATGTTAGGTTGGCTTAGCCAATGTGGGGTTGGCTTGACCAATGTTGGGCCAGACCGATGTTGGCCTGGCTTGACCAATCTTGGGCCAGACCGACGTTGACCTGGCTTGACCAATGTTGAGCCAGACCGATGTCGGCCTGGCTTGGCCAATGTTGGGCCAGACCGATGTCGGCCTGGCTTGACCAATGTTGGGCCAGACCGATGTCGGCCTGGCTTGACCAATGTTGGGCCAGACCGATGTCGGCCTGGCTTGACCAATGTTGGGCCAGACCGATGTCGGCCTGGCTTGACCAATGTTGGGCCAGACCGATGTTGGCCTGGCTTGAACAATGTTGGGCTAACCTGACCATTGTTGGGCTGGTGGTTGCTTGTCCCTTCAAGGGGTAAGGGGCTGTCTCAATGTGAGCCTCCTTTAATTTATGCATTGCTAAATCTGTCCCATAACTGGTATACTTAGGAACCATAGAGGTGCCATCACATGACACTGTGGCTTTACATGTATGAAAGGTGTGTTGAGGAACTTTTGTGTTTTTCCTCCATCTCTTGTACAGGAAATAAAAATGTAGTTAGGCTTTAACGATTGTTACTGCTTGTCTTCCCCAGAGGGACAATGGAGAACATACCAAATAGAAAATGGACCCGTTAACTCTGAAGACAAGGACATCACCTCGGATTCTGGAGAAGAACCGGCCATTACCCCAAACCACACGCTGCCACTCCTCCACCATGCAGATCGATCAAAACATCTTCCCAAGGAGCCAGCTCTCCCCAGAGATAGAAAGACTCCCACAGCAGAGAGGCCATATTGTTGTTCCGAATGCGGGAAATGCTTTTCTGACAGAAGCATCCTTCAGAGACATGAAAGAAGTCACACAGGGGATAAGCCATTCTCATGTTCCATCTGTGGCAAATGTTTTATCCAGAAGTCGTGTCTCATCCGCCATCAGACAACCCACAAAGGGGAGAAGCCGTTCGCATGTTACCAATGTGGGAAATGCTTTACTAGAAAGTCCGGTCTGGCGGGGCATCAGATGACTCATACGGGAGAGAAGCCGTATTCTTGCCCAGAGTGTGGGAAAGGTTTCTCTCATAAATCCCAGCTGCGAATGCATCAAAAAATCCACACCGGCGATTTGCAGTTTTCCTGTTCCGAATGTGGAAAGCGTTTCGTGCAGAAGTCGCAGCTTGTCCGACATCACTTAACACACACAGGGGAGAAGCCATTTTCATGCTCAGAATGTGGAAAGTGCTTTCTGCTGAAACAGAGTCTTGCCAAACATCACATGACACACACCGGGGAAAAGCCATATGCGTGCCCTGAGTGCGGGAAGAGTTTCATCTTGAAGCAAACTCTTGCCAAACATTGTCTGACTCACACCGGGGTGAAGCCATATTCCTGCTCTGTATGCGGGAAGCGGTTTACAGGGAGGAGTAATCTTTCTAATCATCAGAGGCTTCACACAGCTGACAAGACTTTTTCCTGTGCTGAGTGTGGGAAATGTTTCACTAGGAGGGACTGCCTTATTTCACATCAGAGGACTCACTCAGGGGAGAAGCCTTACTCATGTTCACAATGTGGCGAATGTTATTCCCATAAATCGTGTCTTATGAGGCACGAGAAAGTTCACAGAGGGGAGAAGCCATATTCGTGTTCTGAATGCGGGAAGAGTTTCACAGAGAAAGCCAGACTTGTCTCGCACCTGAGAGTACACACCGGGGAGCGCCCCTATTCTTGCACCGTATGCGGCAGAGGCTTTAAAGAACGATCTGTCTTAATTAGACATATGAGGGTCCACACGGGAGATCAACGTGTGCTGAGTGGGGACAATGTTTTTCAATAAAAGCCTCCCTTATAGCCCACCGCAGTTGCCACAAGCAACAGGAGGTTCCTGAAGAAGCAAATGTATAAAGTTGGATAGCCAATCCAGATGTCTTCAGGTTAAAAATGTCTTTGAGATCGCAGTTATTTCCTCACCCCTCCCACCAAGATAATCCAACATAAGGAGCTGTTGGCCTCACATGCTGTCCTCAATTATTCATTTCAGATCCCTACTCCAGTTGGCATGTCTGGATCCATTAGATAAGAGATGGACATTGGCCAATCCAGATGTCTTCAGGTGTAAATACTTATTTGGGATCGCAGTGATTTCTTCACCCCTCCCACCAAGATAAACCAACATAAGGAGCTCTTGGCCCTCACATCCTGTCCTCCATTCTTGATTTAAGATGCCTGATCCAGTTGTGCATGTCTGGGTCCAAAACTATGACCAAAATTATGGGATGCTGGTCAAACCTCCATGACCAACTGTCCTTGTAAAGCCCAACTCTAGGGCAAGGACCTCTTGTCAGGCTTTCAGTGCTCTCGTCCTTCTAGTGGAGGTTTCACTTCTCTTCCAGTTCTAAAACCTGACCCAAGGACAGGAAGTGGGGACAAAGCTCCCTCATGGGCGTCAATAAAATCCTGGATTGGGTTGGTGGGCTCAAAGCTTGGTGGTATTTAAATCAAATAAAACACCCCCCAAAAAACAAACCCCCGGCCCCCAAAACAACAATCTCCCCCCACTAATTGGGTATTGTGGCACACGCCGCAGTGAGACCAATAATCGCAGCTTCATCGTTCATTGAAGGCACCACCTATGGCCAATTTTGGGCATCCTAGTTTTTCCACATTTGGTATCTATTGACGTGACACAACCTCATCTTTCATATTTTACTCCAAAACATTGGACATTATATTACCATTGTGTGCACTAAAATGAATTTGTATTTTTTTTAAACTGAAAATATGGGTTCAATAAACAATTGGGCAAATATCGTGTAACATCAAAAACTTGCAACTGTCACCATTTTATTTTTTGGGGCCTCTGCTTTTAAAAACAAAAAATGTTAGGGGGTTTGGGGGTTTTAAGTAATCTGCCGGCCTAAAAGGTGCATTTTAACAATGACTCTGGCAGCGTTAGGGTTAAATCTGCACCCCACACTTACAACAAGCAGCGTGCCAAAGGACTGTCACTGATCACTTCAAGGTTCAGTCCACTTAAAAGTGATTTTAGTTCTAGGTGGTGCTGGGTTGGGCCCCTGGTTTCATATGCCGTGAGTACTCCAACAATGAGATATTCCATTATTCCTAGATCTGTTCCTGTCTGCCTGGGATCCCCTGGTTACATTCTGCATAATATCAAATCTAGCAGGGATGGTGGGAGCTCCTCATAATGGTGTATGCCGCCCGGGTCCCCTCCTCTCTCCTGACACTGTCGGGATCTCAGTCCATGACAGAGTGCCTGACTTTTCATAGAGGGTGACTGCAAAATGACTGTCAGTCATTTTAGTGTCACCGATACAATGGTGGCACCTGGGTGCGGGCCCCACCCCCGTTGTGACGCCACTGGTGTGTAGATCTGGCAACTCAGCCCTGTGATGGTGTGAACCACTCTTAATGGGCACAGCAGGTGTACAGACCGGGGAACTCAGCACAGGAATGGTGAGAACACCTCGTAATGGGCACAGGAGGTGTGTAGACCTGGGAAGATGGTGTGAACCCCTCATAATGGGCACGGCAGGTGTATAGACCTGGGAACTCTGCCAAGTGATGGTGTGAACCCCTCATATTGGGCACAGCAGGTGTACAAGCCCAGGAACTCAGCACAGGAATGATGAGAACCCCTCGTAATGGGCACAGGAGGTGTGTAGACCTGGGAACTCCGCCCAGTGATGGTGTGAACCCCTCATAATGGGCACAGCAGGTGTGCAGGCATGGGAACTCGGCACATGAATGATGAGAACCCCTCGTAATGGGCACAGCATGTGTATAGACCTGGGAACTCGGCATAAGCATGGTGAGAGACCCTCATAATGGGAAAAGGAGGTGTTCAGGGATCTTTGCAATCCCCACAAATCTCTGCTTCAGATCACACACAGTGACAAATTAACTACTTACAATTAGGAACAAGAATCGCTGTGATAGCACATTTTTGTATATTATATAGGGGCTACATCAATATCAGAGTGCATAGAATCAAGATGTATTCTGTACAGTCTGATACGTTTGTTGTATGGAAGGGGTGACGTTGATCTATTCTAATTAATAGGGTAAACTTCGAGGAGTCAATAGAAACCCAAGCCTGCAAATAAATCCAAGCTCTTTATCTGGTACGTTAATTCTCACCTTGAGGAGCATGGCATTGGTAGTCTTTGGCTTGGGCATTAGACCACCAAGAAGCTTACAGGTTCTCTGCATGTCCCTGATATCCCTAAAGCGTAACTCCAGGAATGGTATGGAAACTTACATTGGTCGAACTTGGCTTGATGTAAGTATCCATATCTGATTTCTTGAGGTCCGATGAAGATGCTGAAAATTATTGTAGCAGTCGTCGCTAAATACAGTGATAGCTACCTCCTCATGTATCACTTGCCCCTCCCTTTTAGATTGTAAGCCCTCATGGGCAGAGCCCTCCTTACCATCTTGTCTTTAATTGTATTGTGATTGTAATGTCTTTCTTATATTGTAAATCACTGCACAAACTGTTGGCGCTATATAAATCCTGTATAATAATAATAGTGGTGATCGTCTGGCTGAGGCTCCAATGGCTTCCCCATTGCACATTGAGCTCAGGGAGTCACTCGCTTGGCACCACCGCCATTCAGAGGACGCCTTTTTTTTTTAGGTTGAAAGTGAGAAGGAATCAGCTGAGGCCATGTGCTGATTTAGTAGAAGGTTTTGGTTCGCTTTAATGGACTAGCAAACCCACAGACGGGGCAGTAAAGACAAGAACCCCACTGTTTACCATACAAAGCTAGAGCAATACACATACAGAAAATGGTGTGCTAAAACTCTTTGACACAATATCAACATGCGTCAAGACACAGAATGTGGCTTTCCGGAGAATAAAGTCCCTCTGGAGCTCACCATCACATCAGAGGACTTGCAGGAAGATGATGATTTGCTGAGGTGACATGACCCCCCCCCATCCAGTCCACAGAGAGTGTTGGGACCCCCTTCTCCTCCCCTCATAACAAGAAGACATTAATACCTCCTCCTCACTGGGCACACACTCTCCAGCTTCTCCCCTTCTACTTCTCTCCAGGGCTACAACAACATGGCCTCCACCCCTGCTGCATTGAGGACACATCTGTTGTATAACAATTGCCCTCTAATGGTGCTTCTTGTCAATGAGCAGTAGAGGAGTCTGCACTGGAATAAATGGCTCTGTGTCACTAATGTCTTTCTATCTTTAATATTTACGAAGGGATTCCCAACCTAATCTCTTATCAATTTAATTTTGACATATAAGAGTAATAGTCTCCGATGTTTTACCATCTGCTGTAAATAAGTTACATTTTCTTACAGAAAGACTGAAATTTTATGTGACTAACAAGTTATTAAAGATGCAAGCTTACAGGATTCCTTAGATCCCTTCATCAGGTTTTATATGTATAACATGTATTTATATAGCAACATCAATTTACACAGTGCTTTACAGGCTGTATAGTCACATCAGTCCTTGCCCTCAAGGTCCCTATTTCACATTCCAGGGGCCAATTTAGACAGTAGCCAATTAACATGCAAAATTCAAATTGTGCAAAATTGTTTTCTTCCAATATATAAAGTGCAATACTTTACACACGTGCACCCTCCAGTGGACTCACTCACCAAAGACAATAACCCTCTCCTGGAATAGGGTCAAACAGCATTCTTACATTATAAATGCCAATGTTATCATAAGGTATTCCATTTAAGCTCCAAATCCTCTCTCCCGGTTTCTCCTGTTACTGTTGGTTCTCTCCAGGAGTGCAGCTCCCCTCCTCCTTGATTCTCTATCTCCATTCCCTTCCATCTTTCCTGTGTCCCTCTAATCTTTCCTCATAGCCGAGTTCCTCCAACTTTTCTCATAGCAGAGTTCCTCCAATCTTTCCTCATAGTTGAGTTCCTCCAATCTTTCTTCAAAGCTGAGATCCTCCAAACTTTCCTCATAGCTTAGTTTCCGCAATCTTACCTCATAGCCTAGTTCCTCCAATCTCTCCTCATAGCCGAGTTCCTACAACTTTTCTCATAGCAGAGTTCCTCCAATCTCTCCTCAAAGCCAGATTCCAACAATCTTCCCCATAGCTGAGGTTCTACAATCTTTCCGCATAGCCGAGTTCATCCAATCTCTCCTCAAAGCCAAGTTCCAACAATCTTCCCCATAGCCGAGTTCCTACAATCATTCTTTGAAGCCGAGTTCCTGCAACTTTTCTCAGAACTGAGTTCCTCCGATCTTTCCTCAAAGTTGAATTCCTCCAATCTTTCCTCATAACAGAGTTCCTACAACTTTGCTCATAGCAGAGTTCCTCCAATCTCTCCCCATAGTCAAGTTCCTCCAATCTCTCCTCAAAGCCGAGTTCCAACAATCTTTCCCCATAACGGAGTTCCTCCAATCTCTCCCCATAGTCAAGTTCCTCCAATCTCTCCTCAAAGCCGAGTTCCAACAATCTTTCCCCATAACGGAGTTCCTCCAATCTTTCCTTATAACCAAGTTCCTCCAGTCTCTCCTCAAAGCCGAGTTCCAACAATCTTTCCCCATAACGGAGTTCCTCCAATCTTTCCTTATAACCAAGTTCCTCCAGTCTCTCCTCAAAGCCCAGTTCCTACAATATTTTCCCATAGCCGAGTTCCACTTCTCATAGTGGAGTTCTACATGCCCCTTATGGATTTAAATGCCCTTCTTTGAAATCTTTCTAGTTCTGCAACATCTTTTTTGTGAACTGTGCCCAAAACTGAATTGCATATTCAGGATGAGGTCTTGCTAACGTACATGGGAAAGGTTATGTTT